AGAGAGACAGAAACACTGAGATCTGGAGGCAATAATGGGAATGAAAAATACAGAAAGGAAGCAGAATCCTCACACTTATGCTGGTTACCAGCTCAGTGCAAAGATGGGGATTTAATGTGAGGAGTGAAAAAACACTGCTCCACTTTGACTATACCTCTGAGTTTTAACTACTGTCACAGACTGATCTTTTGCTTCAAGTTTTGCTGAGCTGGAATCAAATCTTCCTATTTTTTTTGGCATTTAATAAGATGAAACATTCTTCAAATTGTGTTTTCAATTTGTTTATTTATCTTTTTTTACAGGTAAAGCTATACCTAAATGTTAGACACATTCCTACTCTGGATGAGTCCAGAGTAGGAGTTTCCTTCAAGCAGCATACACCAAAATGGAGAGAACACAGCAAAAAGAGGTAGCCCCCAAATGTGTTATTTGGGTCTCACACTGAGCACTCAACACTCACATTCCATTTTCATGCCCATCTCTAGGCATTTCTTAAGCCTACAAAACTGGCAGCGATTCCGATGGTGTTTATTGATGATACAGTCCTGGTTGCTACGACAACTGTAGGTCAAATTCTTCCTCACACTCCTTTTAAAGAAACCTTTGCACCCCTCACAACTGACAGCACCATAGTGACGACCTAGGAAACACACAGACTGTTGTTAGAAGGAAATCCCTTACATTTCAGCATACAAATATTTATTTTAAGCAAGCAAAACATTGTAAGTCACCCTTAAACTTGTTTTGTATTTGTACCATCACTTTGGACCACGAAAGCATTATTTAAGTCTTACAGGTTGTTTCTTGTTTACCTATTGCCAGGACTTTTTGGTGAGAGAGTGGAAAGAAGACAGGAAGGCTAAGCCTATTTCTGAATGTGTGGTCTATGAAGTTGTAGCTCCTGTTCTGGACAAGTACAGATGCAATTCTATCTGCTGTTACTTACAGACTATAGGATACATTAGGAAAACATACAGGCTAAGAGTTCAAGTGATTTCAGAAGTAATTTTACAGCAAAATTTAAAAGCAATCTTCATTTAAATTTCCTGTACATGTCAATTCTGGTACTGCTGTAATTGCACAAACACTTGAACAAAGGCAAATGAGAGAGAGGCAGAAGGGTGTCTGCTCTGTGGCATGAAAGCACAGTACGGTTCTGTGACTAAAGTACAGATTTTACCTTGAGACTCCTTGTTACTGCATAGATCTGAAACCCTGAAGCTTCATGGGATCTCTACTTGCCTTTTTCTGTGATAGTGTAAGAGCAAAATCTACCAGGAAGTGTTAAGTTTGCTAGAGAGCACTAAGAAGTGTTTCCTTGGAGCAGCTGGACACTTCTAGGTGCCATCTTTATTCCGTGCTTGCCCATCTCTGTGGGGAACTGGACTAAATGCTTCAAGTAGCCTTTTTCCACTACCAGGAGCTATTCAATCACTATTTCATCTTGCAGCCAATTAATCATATGCCCCAGTTGAAGCAAATAACTACTCTGTGTGTACAGATACAAAGTACGTTATCCTTTTCCATTTAGAAACTCAACTGATTTGCTGTCAGCATGACTAAAATCAATTAAAACACATGAAAAGTCATCTCTTCATCCCAGTCATCTTTTGAAGCAAGTTTTCTTGAACACCACGTTTTTTTTGTGCTTCCTTACCTGATGCTTTATCTCCACAGACTACACAATATTCTACTACCTGGGGCCGCTGAACATCAGCTTTTCCCAGCAAACGTTCCACTGAAGCAGAGTCTGTCACTATCTGAAGCAAAATTGAAGAACAAAAAGAGGTAATTAGCCTGACATGAAAGTAAGGAGCTTTGCTACAGAACAAGATTGGTCTGTCAGCTGAGAAGAGGTGACTGAATTTAAGGATAAGCATGACATGTGGAGTGAAATTAAGTAGTATCGAGCGCAATTTAATGAGAGGTTTTACTGTCAATAGTGACACTGTTGGGACAGTCATATCAAAACAAATTCCAAGTAAAACTCCTGGCTGTGTTCAGCACAAGAAAGTTTCCTCATTTGTGCAACCACTGGCACAGGTTGCCCAGGGAGGCTGTGGCTGCCCCAGCCCTGGTGGTGTTCAATCCAGGCTGGATGAGCCTTGAGCAACCTGATCTAGTGAGGTGGTGTCCCTGTCCAGGGCAGGGGTTGGGACTGGATGATCTGTAAAGTCCATTCCAACCCTTAAATTCTATGATTCATGTACAAATGATTCTCCTTCCTGTAAAATATTCTCTATTCTAACAGCAGCAATGGGCACCAGGCACTGGGTTTTATTTATTTTCTTTTAAAACTGCTAGGAAGAAATCTCCAATTTTACTAGAGGAAGATTATTGTTTCTATCATTGGCTTTGCAAAGCTCCCATTGGTCTACATTATGCTCAAGACCCACAAAAACTCTAGCAGAGGACACCTTTACTTCCAACAGCTGTTACTGCAATGTCTTGACACTGAGCATGAAGTGTGAACTCACATAAGTTTGCTCAGGTGAGTTGTATCTCTGTGTACCTGTGCATCCTGCCACTTCTCACAGGCACTACCTTAAGGATTCCCTGGTGTCTCTGGCACTCAAATGAGAGCACACAACAGGCTGATGAGTGCAAGGGAATGTGTGAGGAATGTGGAGACAGAAGGATTTCAGACTGAATAATGAAGCCTACAATTAGCATGGTCTAACCCATGTCATCAGACCGTTCGAAAACTATTGCAAGTATAGCCTTAAGTAGTCTAAAAACCAGAAAATGAAACCCAAAAACCTCTGGTCTATCTCAATTGCTGTACTTACCTGAATTCTGCCTGGCACAATGTTGTCTGTGGTGGTGAAGATAAGCTGTTTGGCATTAGATGTCTCAGGTGCTGCCAGTATCACCTTTCCTGTACCAGTTCCATCTGGACTGGCTAAAATAAACTGTTGCTTTGGAGACACAGCTGAGTCCACTGCTGTCACTATTTGAATTTTCTGACCTGTTTGCTGATCTGTCACAATCTGTAAAACACATTGAAGAAATTCAGGACCACAGTAAACTTTACATTTCAAACCTTTTCATTCTGGCTCGGAATTGTATCCATGAAAAATCACAAAGCAGTTCCCTGATTTTTCTTTAGAGATGGCACCAAGGAGATGTTCTCCAGTTAGCAACAGCATTTAGCTTGTTACTCCTTAAAGCTATCAACAAAAGGTGGAATCAGGCAGCCTGAGTATTTCCCATGCTGATTCTCAAGGTTCTATTATGCTGGGAGGTTTCTTTTTTGATACAGTTCTCTGGGAGCACAATCTATATTTTGCCTGGTAGAGTAACCATATCAATATGCCTCAGTATTTCACTAACACTTCACAACTCTTGTATCATTTGCCACTGCATACACTCTGATACATCAGTGACACCTTCCTGTAATCTGCCAGGAACAACGACTCACTGTACAGCATTCCCAAAGGCTGAGTTTGGGTTTAGCAGATTAATCTCCCACTGGCTCCTAAAGAAATGGGGGGAGGAATGCCTTTGGAGATGACCTCAGGTGTCCTGCTGACAATGTCTGCCCACTGGCTGTGTGGGCTCAGGAGATTTCTCTGTGTAGCTTAGCTTTAATTTCTGCCAATACTCCTCACTGACATCAACAGGAGCATTGTACCCAGCCAACCCATCACCCTCAAATACTTGCTGAGGGGCAAAGAGAATTCCAGTTTGCACTAAAAATGATCTGTTCCCACAGAATTTCAGGGAGTACTGCACAGACTTCAGTATGGTTTTATAAGTGGGAGGAGGAGAAAACCCAGAGCTGGAGGAGATAGTCAATGGGTGGATCCTCACCTGAATGCGCTGTGGTGAAGCTACAGAGGAGTCTGTGGAAATTATCTGGATACGCTGGGAAGGGCTGGTCATCACTGGAGATTCAGATAGCAAAGTCTGAACAGTCTGCACCTGTGAATAACACAGTTTTCATTTACTGGTGAGGCACTGAATGCTTTAAAAAATACGTGTACTTATTAAAGATCAGCCTTACAGCATGGGATGTAAAATATTGGCAAGGTTACAGTCATTAAACCAACTAGGATTTGGTTTCGATTAATCATCAGAATTTTTCATACTAGAGTACCAAACTATAATGCAAAGCCAGTTCTGAATACCTGGAAAAAGCTTAGAAAACAGTTTGCATAGCTGTTTTCAGAGCAAAACTGTTAAATGTTGAACTAAACATGCAAGACAACAGTGGCTCGACAGCTTTTACATTCTGTTCATAGAACAGAGGACACTGGCCATGTACTAGGGAAGACAGTGGGAAGGAATTGTTCCCCGTGAGGTGCTGAGGCTCTGGCACAGGTTGCCCAGAGCAGCTGTGGCTGTTCCATCCCTAGAAGTGTTCCAGGTCAGGCTGGATGGGGCTTGGAACAACCTGGGCTGGTGGAAAGTGTCCCTGCCCATGGCAGGGGATGGGACTAGACAATCTTGAAGGTCTCATCCCGAGCAAAGAACTCTATGATTCTGTGATCAGCACTGACATGTATCCAAACCCAGGAACTTCAGAAGTTCTTTTCATTAAATCCTCTTTTAACCAATCTTGGAATGATTTATCACAATCTACACCGCTGGACAACAGGGGAGTGTCAGTTTCAGCTTGCTTTGCAAAATCTTTGCTGCATATACAGCAAAGATCATTCATGATGTAAAGTAAGAAAAAACAGCTTGGATAGCAAGGAACATGTCCTGCAGGTACTTCCTAAGGAAGAAAAGGTGTTAAAGTACACAGTACTTAATGAAGTCATAGTGTTCTACTCTCCCATTGCCTGTACCGTAAGTAGTCCCATATACCATAAAGGTATAACCTAAATTTAACACACTATCTCTAATTATCTTTAATACACAGGTCACAAAAGTTGTGCTAAATGAGGAATATACACAGGAGAGATATAGAAATAGCAGAATCTTCAAATTATTGGATGATTCAAAGCATTCAGCTGCAGAAAACAGGATACCTAGGCCAGAAAAAAACACAGTACTGCCAGAATCAAGACTCTTGGAGGACACATTTGAACAATGATCTTGTCTTCCATGACAAAGTATTAACTAAGCTATGCACCTAAATTAGAGCAAGATCTTTTAAAACTGTTTTGGAGTTCTTCACCTTCAACTGTCGCATCCTTAGCCTTTCATTCCCGTGTCTTCAGACCTTACACCACAATGCACTGCAGGCAGCTTGGAAACAGAGACAACTACTAAAAATTCTTCCTGGTCACATCAGAGCTGCTGTTGGAAAGAGGAAATAGCCCTTATTCCTCCCCATAGAGACAGCTCTGTTTAAAAACTCTGCAGCAAAATCTAAGGCACTGCACGGGGAACATATCTGCGGGTCAAAACCAAATACATTTTTCTTAGACATGTAAGTGAAATCCGAGTTGGTGCTGGGACTGAACCCAGGCCACTGACACATTGCCCAGTGGCAGTACTATAGAAGTAATGGAGAAAAGCAGCATTATGTAGTTTTGCATTAAGGCTGAAGCATTTTTGCAGCTTTTTGAAAGCCACTGGGGTTGAGGAGGAATTGCTGCCATTCCCCCCGACTCCCCTGGCTGCTCTCTGTTCTCCAGTCCCACGTACCTAAGTGAAGGCAACTGCAGACACTAAAAATGGAACTCTCTCACCAACCTGTTCAGAAACACAAGCTGGAAAAAAAAATCAACAAGCAACACTGATATACAGCAGAAGCAAGCAACAGCAGTGAAACCACTTGAAACCGTTACAAGGACAACTTTACAAAGTCCTAGAAATGGAGTAAGCACAGAAGTACATGAAGTACTGGAGCTCACTCAGCAACTCCTGTGATACATTCAGTGTCATGAAACACAAATCTGAGGGACTGTTGCTCAAGAGAGAGAAACAACAGACAGCCTGCTCATGTCTGATTTGGTGCTTGGCATCACAGCTCTCAGCAAACCCATGCACTACACATGTGGCAGTTATGCTGAAAAAACAATGCAGATACAGCTAAAGCTGCTAATATTTGCAGTAAGTTATCCTGTGTGCAACTCGCCTCTCACAACTCCTAACCTGAAATTCAGTGCATGATTAATGACTCTTCTTCCAGTCCGTTTTCATCCATGACAAATGGTATTGTGAAAACCTCTCATTTTTCAGGCCAGGCCCAAGTTTGATTCCATATTTTCTCTAAGAAATGGTGAGTACAAATATAGAATTTCAGCACATTTGAAGAACACTAGCAGTGTATTTACCTGTACTACAAACCATCTGAGTGCAGGCACAGAGAGCAGGCAGCCAGCCTTTCACAAAGGAGTGATTCAACATAAACACAGCACTAATGAACTCTTAACGAGATAATGCTGCTTAGAACTGGTTTGCCATGAACAAAGTTTTCAGGGTGTTATGCAGTGGACAGGCACAGAATTTCAGGAGCAGCTGAAGGCTATAAAGGGATGAAGGCCTCAATTTACCCACCGGCCAGGAGGAAATCACAGAGCTTCATACACTCTTGAGATGGAGCGATCTCTCCAGAGGCAAGATACAACCATCACACTATGTTACCACGGTGCATTTCCTGCACGAGGAATTACAAATGTCACATATTTTGTGTGCTTTAGATGTTATCACAGCACCCAAGTTCTACCAAAATGCTATAAGGTTTGCCTTTTTTTTACACTACAGGTTTGTTTCCAAGTATGTTTAAAAAATGTAGCTTTCCAAACTCATACCTGCTACAGAAAACCAGAGAGGAAAATCTCTTGTTGGTTTTCAGTGTGAAACTTAGGGAGTTTTTTGAAATTATTTCCAGGACACTCAGTAGGCCATTTTCCACACTAAAAAGAACCAAATTGTTTTAGAAAAAAAAAATTGTTCTAAGGAATCTCAAATCCAGCTCTGAAAACAGAATTCAACTTGTATTTGCTTCATATACAGAGCTGCTTCTTGAACTAAGAGTATTTTTTTAATATCCAGGTGTAATCTTAGTTCAGTAGGTGAAAGAAAACTCCAAACTAATGTCTGGAATGTGGCCTTGTCTACAGAGCTCTCACAGCTCACTTGCCCATTGCTGTTTATTCAATCCCTTAACTTTGCAATCACATGAAAAATCACAGTAAATTTGAAGGATTAAACCAAGTCATTTCAATCAGACAAAAGAGCTAGTCTATTTTTTGACTAAACTTTACATAGTGAAGGAGATAGATTATTTTCTATGGCCATGAACTCTTGTAGTTTATGAGTTGGTTTAAACATTTTAGCTGTGGAGTGTCCAAGCTTCAGTGAATGTACACCAAGACATCACTTAATATCACTTTAGATGGATGTTGTGCTCTTTTTCTTATACATGTAGGCAGAAAACATAAAACCTGATGTGAATTATTCACCCTACTGCAAATTCAATATAGTGCCTAAGCAGAACAGGTAACTTCAAACCCTGTTCTGGATTTAGATTACAGCTCAGGTGAGAAGCAGAAACCTTTCACACCCAAAATGATCAGTCTAAGGCTCAAACAACCAGAAAATCTGTGGTATGGATTTCCTAAACAATCCATACTACAGCCAAGTTTCTCTGCAGCTCATGTTGAATTTCCTACTTGTGTTCCTAACATGAAGGAACCAGAACGAGGTGAGCAAAACACGTCCTGGCTGCACTGGTTTTGTGTCTGTACCCAAGTGTAAAGCAATACTGTTCTATAAAGATTTTCCATTCCATTTCTACTTAATTGCAAACAGCAAGGGCTCCCTAATATGTTTTAATTTCAAAAGCTCATATACCAACTGTTGTGATATTATCTGTCACTCACCTCAGCCACCTGCTGAGCCTCCACTACCTGCTGAGCCAGCACCTCCATACTGGTTGCCATGGTGAAACAGGATCATTAGAGAACCTGTTTGGAAAGATGCCAGCAACTTCCATCAGGCACAAGGGTTAGGGTGTTTGCTTGTCATTACAGAGAGCTCGGAGATGACTTTCTGATACCTTCCAGCCCTGCTTGCTGTACCTGGCAAGGCAGAGCAGATGCCACTGCTGTGTGCACACACACACACACAGGACGTGCACACTGAATCCATGCTGGGCAAACAGCCGAGGCACAGCTACTCTTCTGCTGTACAAACCCTTTCACATGCTACTGCTGCTCCTACTTGAGCTGTCAACTTCATAAATGAGAGAGGACTAATCTGAGTGTCAGCTGCTGATGCAGTTTGGGGAGTTCACGGATCTCCCAGGTGCTTTCCTCAGCTCAAGGAGGAAAAACCTAACAGTGCAACTGCTTCTACATCACACACTGAGCCAGGGAGCAGCAACCCAAGGATGCTGTTTTGCACAGCATTTGATTGAGTCGTTCTGTCAAACTGCCATGTGTTCATCCACAGTCTTAGAATAATCTTGCACTATAAGGGAAATAAACTGTCACATCTAAAATGTCTATTATCCAAATTATTTTTATTATAATGTGAAAGTATTATCCCTCTGAGAAGAGAATTCCGCAGAATCACTTTATCCTGAGTGACTGGCACCTTCAACTTTATACCCTTTGGAGCTAAAAACAGAGACAAAGCAATCACAAAGACAAAGACTCCAGAAAAAAAAAACCTCACTTTATCCTGAGTGACTGGCACCTTCAACTTTATACCCTTTGGAGCTAAAAACAGAGACAAAGCAATCACAAAGACTCCAGAAAAAAAAAAAACAACTACATCCAATGTATTTGTAATTATCATTATTAGGGCTGTGTTTCTCCCAAGGTAAATTTAATTAAGCTTTCCAATTAATGCATTCAGTTTTTAACAGTGTCTCATTACAGGGCCTGACCTGTAGGTGACAAAAAGGCTCTCCTGACCACAGGCAATTAAAGGCTTCACTGAAAACCTGTTTTTGCAAGTATTTGATTTAAATGTAACAATACTGCAAACAACAGCACAACATGTAACAGAAAAGTGCAGGCGAGTTCTGGGCACCAACACCCATCCCATTCACACGGGACTTCTACAGAGCTGACACGGCTGAGAACACCACAATCCATGTTTATATCATGCCAAGTGTGAAAACTATTTTGTGTACATCAGGCCAAGATTATTTGCAACAACGCACAACCAGAGCTGAGACATTCCCTATGGAAATGGTCATTTTTTAATCATGTGTTCAGCTGGCACAGTAAGGTGATGAACCGTTTGCAGCAAACCCAGCTTGGCCACTGATTCTCAGCTGTTCAGTGATGCTTTTTCCTCTACATTCAGCAAGAAAAATAGCTACATCTCCTAACAGGCTGTGCCCTCAGTGCTGCGAGGTGACAGGAGCCGCAGTGAGTGTCCGTGAGAGCACCAGAGGCACAGTTTGCTGCTCGTGTTACCCCAGGGTTTGTCCTTCTGACCCCAAGCAGCACCAGGGCTGTCCCCGCGGACCCAGCGGAGCACAGACAGTGTCTCTCGGGGTGCCCGGGCAGGAGGCACCTGTCGTGCCGCGGCGACAGGGCGAGCGGCACGACCAGCGCGGATCGCAATCCGTGGCTTTGTCTGAAGGAAACGATCCTCACACTGCTAGCTCTGCCCGGCTCGGCTCAGGCTCCCACCCGCGGCGGGCACAA